ACACAGGATGGACAGCATCATCAATTACACCTTGCAGCTAGATAGGATGTCTTCCACTAATCTCTTGTAAACCCAGGCATCGCCCTTAAGCCACTGCCTCCTGATACCCACAACATCAGATTTTTGGAGTTGGCACACTTCTAGTTCAAATTGCATTGTCACTTTGCCAAAATCTGACTGTGTTTGACACTTCAGTGTATATCCTTTCTGTACAAAGTCCACGTGCTTCTTTGGAAGAATAGACATTATTTCATTCAAGAGTTGATCCGGATTCACTAATCTGGTAGTAGTCACATTATAGTGAAGCTTTAATCTTCTTGGTCCATTCCTGGCAGAGCTCTTCTTCTTGCTCCTAGTAAGCACAGTGATGACTTTATCCAACCCCCTTTCAAGGCTTCCAAACACTTTGGTTCCTTTTCTTTTTGGAGTATCTTCTACATGGAGTTGATTGAGATTCAATTCCACTGGGCAGCACCGCCTCTCAGGGCTAATAACTCCTGTCGTTAGCTTGTTTGTTTCTGCTGAATTTACGGGTGTTTTAATTGGGGTCTCTTTCAGACTCTGATTGATATCTTTGGAGGGTGTAGTGTAACAGTTTGGTGTAGTAAGTATTCCCTTTTAGGCAGGTTCTTATTAACTGGAGTCTTTGGCTCAGGAAATACAAAGCACTCTTCATTCTTTACAGCAGATTTAGGAATATATACATTTTCTTTGTTCTTTGATTTATTTGCAGATGCTCTGCACAACACTGGAGTCCGTGATTTAGACTCTAGATCATTTGGTTCTATCCGAAGCTTGGCAAACTGTGGTGTTTGCGGAGGAGCCACACCTCTTGATGAATTAGCGTCACACCACTCATAGTCTATATATCCATCCACATCATTTTCATCACTTGTGGTCACATCTTCTAGACTTAGATTCTTTGACTCCAAGTCTCTGGATGGAGTAGCACTGGCTTGTCCATATGACAAAGGAAGCCTTAAGCGAATTGGCCTTCCCCGACCCTTCTTGGCTAGAAGCAAAAGATAGGTAGCCGTCAAGTGACCACATTTCCACAGTGAAATTAAATTCTCCATTGTCTGTCTGTTCTTTCTGTGATGTACAGAAAGTTCTGTTATACAATCTTCATCAAGGTGAATAAGAGGATTCTTGCTTTGCCACTCAACAGGATAGTTGTAATCTTGCATGATCCAGGGATTTGAATTCTTAATTTTTTAAATTTATAATAGTTCTTAAAAATCTAGTTGTCTCAAAAACAGTTTCTGCTGTATGGATCATGCTTTCTTGTTTCTTGGAATTTCTTATAATTTTTCTTGCAAAGTTGTTGTTGTTGTTGTTATATGCCATCAAGTCGCCTGTGACTCACAGCATAAACATTGAAATAAGAAAATAGAGCAACTCTGAGTGCTGACCTTCACCTCACCCCCCCCTTTGAGTCTTGATATTGTTTGCTAGTGTCTTTCTTAAGTGAGTAAATTGTTTTAATGAAGTGTTTTTCCAACTCACTCACCCTTAATATGAAATTTCTGATGTTGCTCCCCAATAGTACAACGTGGAGTATGCCCCACATCACCCTGGAATCCCAGTGGTTTCAGTAGGACTTTATTTTCTCTTCCCTGCCCCCGTTTATTTTCTTTATACCCGGTTGTTAAGCCTCCCTATTTGTCAAATGAGGAGCTTTGGTGGTGGAGTCCTTAGCAAGTTGTGCTACTAACCTTGAAAACGGCATGTCTCAGATTCAAATCCACTAACTGCTCCATGGGAAAAAGATGGGCAGTATCCTCTTGTTATCTACAATCTCAGAAACCTGATCGAGTGTCATTATGAATCAAATCCAACTTGATGTCAGTGAGTTGAATTTCCAGATAGTGGATCTTTTGTTTTTAGCAATGTATTACTCCACAAACAAATCCAATCAAATTCTGGCTCCTTTCAAAGCATAGTTCCCAAAGTCAGTGTTTGAAATTTATTGTTGCAATATCAGGAAGAGTTCCTACTCACTCTATCTTTCCCTATATGTTTCTGCAAAACTCATTATTATTTCTGAATGACACCCTTACTTTGAGAGTTGAATATGTAGGAGAGGATCAAATAGCAGCCATGATTTCCTTGGGTTGCCACTCCTGACATGGAGCTCTTGTCCCACGAGCCAAGTCAAAGCTGCTTTAAGTACCTTCATACTTAATGGTACAATGCTCAAAGTTGATGTTCCATCTTGTAACTCAGGCAATGCAGAAGGCAGCCTCTACCTCTCTGCTTCATTGAGTTGGAACCATAAAATCAGAGTGCTGAGGGCTGAATGACACATTATATATAGCATGCTAGTTTTGAGTGGAATTTATACTTCACTGAAGTGGAAGGGTAGAAAGGGAACAGATCTTGGTTCAAATACTACAGGCATTCATTGTTCCCACCAAGGTTCTAAATGCTTTTTCATAGCACAACAATATTTCTAAAACATGAAAATTCATCAAAACAACTATGAGACCATCTCACCCCAGTAAGAATAGCAAAATAGAACAGTCAGCAACAAATGCTGGTGAGATTGTGGGGAAACAAGAACCCTTATTCACTGTTGGTGGAAGTGTAAAATGGTGCAACCACTGTGGAAGGTGGTATGACGCTTTCTCTAAAAGTTGCAAATAGAGATACCATTTGACCCAGCAATTCCACTATTGAGAATATACCCTAAAAAGACAATAACTGACATCCAAGCAGATATATGCACACCCAAGTTTATTGTGGCTTTGTTCACAATAGCAAGGAGCTGGAAACAACCTACGTGCCCATCAACAAACGAAGGGATAGAGAAGCTGTGGTATAGTCACACAGTGGAATACTATGCTACATTGAAAAACCAAGGAACTCATACAATATTTTTCAAAATGGGTGAACCTGGAGGATATTATGCTGAGTGAAGTATCTCAGTCACAAAAGGTCAAATACTGCATGGTGCCACTGTTGTAAAACAGGACTGACATTGGAGTTGGGGGGAGACTGATGAAGACGAGATAAAGAATGTATACTGCATTGAAACAGATGAGGGCGAAAATTGTTTAAAAGGGATATGTGATTGAGTAATTTTGTCATGATGGGAGTCCAGAACGAAGGCTGTTGTAGTGGAGTGGACCTGGGGAGAGGAATTGTAAAACAATGAAAAAATTTTACTTTTCCAAAAGGGGCGTGTACTGGGGGGGAGGGTTGAGAGGGGAGAAAAGTGTGACAATGAAAATCCAAAGTCTCTGTAAATTTTCATTGAAATGAAAAATTAAAAAATTTAAAAAATGAAAATTCGAAGTACTAAAACAAAATTACCAATTTCAAATCACTTTAATTATTAAATATTATTTACTGAGATTACAGAATGTATATCCTATCGTAGGTGCTACAGATACAAGCCTACCCCTACAACCTTCAGTGATATTTTATAAAAAATGGAATAAGTTAGAGACTGGTGGGGCTAAAATGTGAAGAAGAGTGTTACTTTTTAGCTGGAGTGGGCTAAGCAACTTCTAGAAAAGTGGTATTTGCAAAGGGTGGTTATGTTTATGTACTGTTGAGTTGCCTGTGACTCATAGTTACCCTTAAGTACAATAGCTCTGTACCCTGATCTAATTGAAACCAATCTTACTGTCTCTAACACACCTGTCCCATTCCCCTAGTTACTGTGTCAAATCATCTCATACTGGGTCTTCCTCTCCTACTCTACCCCTTACCCTTCGAGGCATGTTATCATTCTCCAAAGACTGGTCCCTCCTGGCAACATGACCAAAGTATGTGAGATAGAGCTTCAAAATTCTTGCCTTCAAGGAGCAACTTGGTTTCACTATCTCCGGGACAGACCTGTTCATGGTATGTTCAGTACTCTTCTCTAGCACCACTACTCAAAGATAGGGATTCTTCTTTAATTGTCCAGAAATCTGATTCATAGTAAGTAATTGCAAAGACCATGGTGTGAATCAGGTACATCTTAGTCTTTAGACTGACATCCTTGCTCTTCAACACTCTGGACAGTTTTCTAAAGGTATATTTTCCTAATGCAAATCCTAATGCAAATCAAAAGATTTTTTTGACTGCTGGAGCCTAAACTCTTCATAGTGGAACCAAGCAAGCTGCAATTGTGAACAATCCCAGTCTCTTCTCAATCTATCATGATGCTACCAAATGGTCCACTAGTGAGAATCGTTATTTTCTTGATACTGCACTGCAATCCATATTGAAGAGTGCAGTCTTTCTACAGCAAATGCTTTGGGTACTTCTCAGTTTCAGTAAGGAATGCTAGGAAAATCTGATAGAAAACATTTAAAGAAGAAAGACCAGCAATAACAAGACTCCTGAAGTGGAACACTTACTGAAAAGAAGAAAAATGCATTTAATTAGGAATCACTTCCTAACTCTCTTTGTCCTACATAGATTTGTTTGTTATTTTGGTAGTCCTTTTAACAAGCAGATATTTTTTTTTGCTCACTTTAGTAAGCATTAACGTCTTTATCTGTGATAACAAATACAAAGGAGGTACACTCAATACTCTTTGAAAATACTACAATTCAAAGACATCAATTCTTCTTCTACAGTTATCCAATTTTTACGTGCATATGAAGCCATTGACAATAGCATGCTTAAGTTAGGCACACAGTAGTCTTAAACTGGGAACCTTGCTCTAGATGATGCACTAACAATCACTGTAAAAGTTTCCATAGATGGGAAAATAAAGTACTATTAAGAATTGTTGGAAGTTCTGCGCCTCACAGGAGTGCCACAACACTGGAATTTGAGCAGTTTAAAAACACTGACAAACAGACCCTTGTCCCTATGCCGATGGCCCACACCCAGAACTCTGGTCCTGAAACCTCTGTCCTGTGCCCAGAACTCTGGTCTCAAAGACAAAGCCCCCAAAAAAAAAAAAAAAAAAAAAAGACAAAGCCCCGTGCAGGGAACAAGGTCCTGATTCCACTGGCCTTCCCTCAGAACTCCAGTCCTAATGCCTCCAGTGCACATCTGGAACTCTGGTCCTGACACTGATGCCTGACACTGGGAACTCTGGTCCTGATTCAAATGCCCGTGCTGGGAGCGATGCTGGAACTTCTCAATAATCACACTGAATTTGAATGGTTTAAATGCACAACTGAAGAGAAAAGAGTAGGAGATTGGATAATAAACCAAAATCCATCAACATGCTGTCTATAAGATACACACCTGAAAAATAAAGACAAAGACTAAAAATTAAAGGGTGGGAATAAATATACCAAGGAAATGGCAACCAGGAAAAAAAAGCAGGAGTAGCAATATTAATCACTGAAAAAATAGATTTAAATGTAAAAACCATCACAAAGGACAAGGAAGGTCACTACATAATGATTAAAAGGTCAATAGAAAAAAAAGAAAAGAAAAGAAAAGGTCAATAGAACACAAAGACATAACAACAATAAATATGCACAAATGAAAGACTGCAAAATATATGAAACAAACATAAACAAAACTAAAAAAAGGAAATAGACAACACTACTATAATAGTTGGAGATTTCAAGACACTATGCTCGAGAAAAGATAGAACGTCCAGAAAGAAACTCAACAAAGATGCTGAAGAACTAAACCACACAATAAACCAACTGGATCTCATTGATATTTGTAGGCTAATACACCCCCCAAAAAGCACAGTATACCTTCTCCACTGTGCATGGGACTTTCTCCAGAATAGATCACATTTTAGGACACAAGGCAAGCATTCATAAATTTTAAAAAACAGAAATAATACAAAGTATCTTCTCAGACCAAGAAATTAAGAAGAAGAGAATAAAGAAGAAAAAACATATATCTGGAAGCTGAAGAACACTTTGCTTGAACATGAGTGAACACTAGAAGAAATAAAAAATGAAAAAGTTTCTTGAAACAAATGACAACATATTAACACAACTTATTCTCTAAAAAACAGCCAACACAATAATTAGAGATCAATGTATAGCAATAGGCAAACACATTAAAAGACAGGAAAAAAATTACCATTGACTATCTAACCTAGTATCTCCAACAAATTGAAAAAGAATAGCAAGAAAACCTAATATCCTCCAAAAAAAGGAAATTATAAAAATTAGAGCAGAAATGAATGAAATAGAAAACAGAAAAATAGTTGAAACCATCAAGAAAATCAAGTTATTTCTTTGAAAAGTTCAATAAAATCGACAAACCACTAGCAAAACT